TCTCTCTCTCTGTCTTCTCGGTTTGTTCATGTCGACAAATTGTCCTTTCGTTTGACTGCATTTTTACATGCTATTAGTTTGGCTGTAGTTTCTCTCTAGCTCGAAACTGGTGTTTGATTTGGATGTCTCGTGGAGTTGAATATGTACATTTTGAGTTTTTGATCACATTAGTTCTATAAATTCCATCCCCATTGCATTCAATCATTGGGGAATTTATCTCTTCTTTCCATGCTAGAAAGGGTGAGAGAGGAGTAATTATTCTATGCTTCAGAAATTTATCAGTTTGGCAACAAACTTATAAAAGGATATATAGAAAAATGGGTAAATTATATAAATAGTCCAAATAGTTTATACGATATGTCAATTTAATTTTTGTTATTTTAATTTGTTTGATTTTGTCCATTAATTTAACAAATTATGTCATTTTTGTCCAATAAATAACGGCTGTTAAGTTTGGTAGATGAAAAATCAAATTATGTGTCAATTTGGTCTTTGTAGTTTACACAATGTGTCAATTTGGTCCCGGTCAAAATTGAGAAAATTAAAACTGCAGGGACTAAATTGATATATTGTGTAAACTATAAGGACTAAATTGACACATTATATAGATTTTTCGTCTACCAAACTTAACAGCCGTTATTTATTGGACTAAAATGACATAATTTGTTAAATTAATGGACAAAATCAAACAAATTAAAATTCTTTAATAAAAAAAATTAAAAATTTCATTAAAAGACAAAAAGGAAGCCAAAATATTTTTTTTAAAAAAATCAACTTATGCAAACTTTTCTACTAACAAAAAAGTTAGTTTTTTTAGAATTTGTTAAATGCATCAATTTTTTAAATAATTTTATCCAAAAAAAAATAAAAATAGAAATAACTGAAAAATCTGTGGTCAAACCCAACCTTGCTTGTAGAGAGGGGGTGGGTTTAATTTTACTTTATACAAAAAAAAAAAATTATTTAAAATAATATTATAATGATATTTTAAAAAGAATAATGTTTGGTAGCTCGAGGATTTCTCCCCCGAATCCCCTTAATGTCCAAAACGACGTCGTTTTGGGCATTAGTCTTTTTTTTTTTCTTTTTTTTCCTTCCATTTTCGATCAGCTCAGGAACAGGAGAAGAGAAAGAGGAGAGAAAGAGAAGAGGGAATGGAGAGGGCCCCTCCTTGCCGCCGCCGACCTGCCGATCGTCGAGCAGCTCCAATCGTCGCAGCAGCAGCTCCGCCGTCGCAGCCCCGCCCCTCGCAGCCCCTGCCTCTGCCGCCTCCGCCCCCGCTTCCGCCTCCGCCCCATTTGTTGGGCCCCCTCCAGTCCCTCCTCCTCCTCCTCCCCCTCCAGTCCCTCCTCCTTCCTCCTACCTCCTCCTCCCCTCCCCTGCTTCTAGTTCTGCTTCACCTTCATCTAAAAAACAAAGCCGTTTTTGAATTCGAGCCATTTCGAGCAGCTCGGTTTCGAGCTACCTATCACTGCCGTTTTAAATTTTACGTTGACTCAATATTCAATGTGAAGGGATTTTAAATTTAAAAACAAAATAAAATTCAAAAATATTTTGTATTTAATGTTGTAAAAGATTGTAAGTTGGTTACTTTTTTTTTTTAATACTAATTTGTGATTAAATTACGTATTTTGTGGTTGACATCACGAAATTTTATAATAAAGTTACAAATTTAATGGTAGGTATGGGCGCATATGAAATTAGTTTTTGATACATATACAATATATACATATATATACAATAAAACAACAACTATGATACATACCACTAAAAGAAGACCACTAAAAGCAACTCTAGTGAGGTGGCATGCCTAAAAAAAAATTAAAATAAAAAGAAAAGAGGAAAAAGACAAAACACAAAGAGGAAAAAGACAATTTAATGCTCCTTTAGTGCTCTTCTTTTAGTGCTCTAAATCATTTTTCATAAAACAAATATGATAATACTTTTGATGTGACAATAATTTTTTTTTAATTTATTGCCGAATAGATCATTTAGGTTGCTCTCTCTCTCTATGTGTTGTGGGAAATTTGAATTTCTTTGGAATAGTCAAATTTTTGGAAACCAAACACATATCTATTTTCAAAATATAATTTTCAAATCACTTTTTTTAAAAATAACTCAAAAAGCTAAAATCAAACATTTTGAATTTTTTTATTTTTATTTTCTTTTTAGGGAGGGAGGAATGGGCTGGTTGAAAACTAATTAAATAGATTATAATTGCTATGACAATGTAGTGTTCATCACGTGATTTTCTTCCTACGTGATTGTGGTGTCTAATGTGTTTTGTCTAATGTGTTTTGCATAATAATATGAGAGTGATAATAACCAATAGTTAGTGTTTTAGGTAATAGGATGAGTAATAATTAATAATTAGTATAAGGTACAATATGAATCCGAATTTCATCCAATTATATTAGATTCAATAAGAGTTGTTTCACATCTGAACTTAATTTATACGAATATTTTCATTAGTTAATGTGAATGTATTAAAAAAATAATAACAATAATAAGCACAAGAAGAAGAAGGAGGAGGAGAAAATAGAGAATGATTGGTAATGATAATGTTGGAAGTTAGAGTACAAAACCCACATGTCCAGCTATAACCCACTCCTCCTCATTAGTCTCTGAATTAATTGAGAGGGCAGACGGACCCCCATGACCTACGACCCATTGTATGACTCTATGACAAGGTCGGTGGTTGGGTGTTAAGGATCACACCACACAAGGATGCAACCTCCCATCCACCATAACAACAACAAAATAATAATACTCATAAGTGAGTGATGAATTCACCCATCATCACAACCCACAAGGTTCAAAAACCCCAGAAACTGAAACAGCCCTCCCTCGCACGACAACTTATTTGGCGGCCTAAGTGCCTCAACTGTGATGTGATTGATGGAGTTATTTGACAATTTTAGAGGACAGTGCCTCAAATGGGCTGGGATTCATAGTGGATAAAATTCTCAATTTTATGCTGAGTGATTAAAACAAATATGATAATTTCCAATAGATCAAGGTATAACCATGTGATGTCCTGAAAATATTTTTTTTCCTAAGAGAGTATTTCCCAAAAATATTTGATGGTGTTGAGTTTAATTTTTATTGATTAGAAGAATGGATCAAGCCACATTTTTTTTAACATAAAAAAATGACATTACGTGGAGATATCATAGCATCCGTGAACCCCAACTTTAGAATAATCAATTGCCGGCCAGATTTAATCTACCTCAAAAGAAGGAACTTACCAGCAAAACAAGAAAAAAATACACCAACTGGAGACAAAATCACAATTGGAGTATAACATAATTAGTTTCACTGTTTTGAAAAATTGGCCGCTAGTTACGAGAATCAAGCCTGTCTGAACTGTACCAAAGAAATGCAATTTTTATTATAAAAAATCAAATTACGGCCGACAACAAGGTAAAGAAGTCAATTTTTATTATAAAAAATCAAATTATTTGTCAAGAATTAAAAAAATTAAATATCATATTAATTTTTTAATATTCACAAAAAATAAATTCAAATGCATTAATTAAAAAAATTAGAAAAAAAAAATCAAAAAACAAAGAATCACTAAAAAAACCAACTGCAAAAACTCATGAGAAGTGTTCTGATAATAGACTATTTTACATAAAAAAAAAAAACTATAAAAAATTTAATTTTTTATTTTATTTTTTGCACGTCTCGTATAAAAAATAAAAAATTCAACAAAAATAATTATTTCCGAAAACAATTCTTTTAATATCACAATAATATAGATGGATGGTGTGAAACCTCACCAAATAACTACTATTACAAGAGGAGAGGAGGAAGTGATGGACGGGACAGCAGTGTTTAGTACTCTTTCGTCATCTTCAACTCCTAATGAACACTTCTTCCCTTTAAAGGCAAGTGATATAAACAAACAAATTTACAAAAATGATCACCTTTCTTAACTTAGATTAAATACTAATGGATAGGGTTTAATATCCAAATTAAGTAATACCTACCTACGGCCCACCAAATGCGTTCTGAAAATATATTTAAAACCAATAAACATCTTTCAAACTTTCATATAACTTTATATATAATTCATTATATTTACAAAAAGTAATATTACATTTATTATATACTTATATTATATTTTATTATCTTACATTGTACTTGAAAAATTATTAAATAATCTTAAAATATCATATAACATTATCTTCGGACAACAATATATTCCATAATTACTAATTACTAGCTAATTATCGAAGTACTTTAGCTCAAGAGGAATATGTGTAAAAGGGTTATATCAAGGACTAAAAATTCAAATGGGTTCCAAAATTTCAAAAGGATACACAAATTGTGACTAACCAACTAAAACATAGATCACATTCAAAGTAGAATCAATAAGAAAGGGACAATGATACTTACAGCTCAAGATTAAACTAGCAAGTAAATATATCCAAATCATAGAAACTTTTGCATTAAAATCTATATACTTCTTTGCAAAATAAAACAAAAAAAGTCTGTGTTAAGCAGGTAAAAAGATGCTCTATCATATGCATCTCTCTCTCTCTCTCTCCCTCTCTCCATTCCAGGAAGGAAACACGGTTTCAGAAAAGAGAACTCAATAATTATACACTGAAAAATGGAGACAGAGAGAGTTCACTTTAGGACTAGGAAATGAAACTGAATGAATAAACCAATTAAAGTTCAAGAAAGAGAGAAACAATAGCAGCATAAAAACTTAATTTTTCTTTTTTATATAAAAAATAAATAAATAAATAAGCAGAAGGAGAAGAATTAATGAGTATTAAAGATAAAGAAAAAAAAGTTAGGGATCATCAAAAAAAATTTCATGAAAATGATAATGAATAATTTATGATTTTTGAATTACTTGATTAGTGTGTTTTATTCTAAGTGTAATTCAAAAATCATAAAACTTTCATGATTATTTTCATGAAAAATTTTTCGTGATACCTACCATTGTTATAAAGATAATTAGGAAGATTAAAAGCAATGCAGCAACATAAGATGAAACATTAACAAAGTAAAATTCCCTGCAGAAGAGAGTTATCCTCAACAATGTGATCACTTCACTAGTCATTAATTAATTAAACAAGATTTAAAAACAAAAAACAAAAACAAAAGAGCAACTAATAAGACCAGTTGTTCTCTTAGTCTCTCTTTCTCTCTCTCACTATCTAATAATGGAGTAGTACTTATTTGTCCATAATTAAAGATTAAGAAGAAGAAGAAGACCCATTAGTCGCGACAACATGTGCACTTACACTATCATTGTTTTGGTGTTGATTGCTCAGATTTTGGTGGTGGTGGTGGTGGTTGTTGTTATTGCTGTTATTTTCATGGTTGTCAAGACTATTTCCGCTACCATTTCCATTACCGTTACCGTTGTTGTGCTTCCCAAAAGTGTTTTTATTGTTGTGCATCCAGACTTTGAACACACCTCTGTCGACCCCAACGTCGCTGCAGAACTCGTTGATCAACTCTTCGTCTCTCTTCTGCATCTTCCACCCAACTCTCTCTGCCAATTCGTGCATCCTCTCCTTCTGATCCTGCGTGAATTTTGTTCTGAATCGCTTCCTCCCACTGGAATTCGCTGCTGTCGTGCCGGCCGTGGGGGCCATTGATGGGTTGTTTTCTGGCGGTGGGCCCGGCAAGCTTGCGCTGAGGGCGAGGAGCATGTGGGGTGCGGATGGGTAGTAGGAGGAAGAGATCGGCGGCGGAGATGCTGAATTTGGGCTGCTGTGGCCGCCGTGTGGGTGTGGTGCTGGTGGTGGAGGAAGTGGGTGGTGGCGGTGGTGGGGCTGGTACTCGATGACGTGTTGGGCGGCGGTGCTGGTAGGCGCTGGGAGCGGTTCTTCGGGGTCACGACGGTGGAAGTTGCGGTGGCAGCCACAAGCGGCGCATTTTAGAGAGGTGGGGTCGGTGGGGCTCGATGTGGGAGAAGGCATGAACTCGCCGCAGCCATCGACGGCGTGGCCTCCGAGGCTGGCCGCGTGGTTCTTGAGACACTCCTTGTAAGTGACCACCACAGGTGGGGCACTCAGGTGGTGGTGGTGGCGGTGGTGGCGGTGGTGGTGGCGCTTGAGTACGCCGTTGGTGAAAGATAAGGGTTTGCTGGGTTGGATCCGAGTCGGTGCTTCGGTTTCAGCTTCTGGGGTTTTAACACTGGCTGTGGCGGTGGCGGTGGCGGGTGGCGGTGGCTATGTCCATGATGAAACATCAACCGTGATGAGGCTTTTTAAGTGTTGATGATTAGATTTAGGGTTAGAGTTTTGCAGAAAATTGAGATATCTTTAACCATAGATGAGAAAAATTGGAAGAAGATGAGCTTAGCGAGAGAGAGAGAGAGAGAGAGAGAGAGAGAAATGGGAGAAGAAGATGAAAGTTGTTTTTGGTGATGATGATGATGATGAGTAGTGATGACTGATCTGGGTTATGTGGTTGTCCTTCTTAACCATTTCCTTGTTATTTATTTTTAACTCGGGTTCGGGTTCTAATATCTGGTTAACTTTATGCCCCTCACTATATTGAGATTATTTGGCGGTCTATATTTATTTATTTTATGTTTTAAATATTTTATAAAAATTAAATTTCTCAATTTTGATAAATATTAAAATTATGTCACCACGTGAGTTTCTTACACGACCACCACATAATTTTTATTGGAAAATATTATAAATCTTAAATAATTTATTAAATTTCTCATATGAATGTGAGATCCATACAAACTTACATATGTATATTTAATAAAGAAAAATGCTAGACATCATGAAAAATACTTCATAAAAATTATCATAAACGAATCTCCATCCTTATATTATACTTTGTAACTTATTGTATATCTAATCTAAGGGTCAAAAATCTTTTACGATCATTTTTATAAAATATTTTTCGTGATAATTAATTAAAATTCCTAGCATTACTCGATTTTTACCCTCTGGATGTAATGTCATGTGTGTAATAAATAGGCCCATCTACTGGTTCATTATAATCCCTGGTTTAACTCAGCCGATTCAATGGGCTAATAGTGCCAAATTTTACAAGTGAATTCTACTGACACCTACAAAAGTTAGAGAATTTTGATCAAAAAAAGATAAATATATTAAGAAACTTATGATTTTTGAAGCGAAGAAAAAGAATAATAGTGGTTTGTTATGTGGTAAATTTTACAAATAACATATTTATAATATACATCATTGAAATAAAAGAGGTATAAATGTTATAAATCATTTATAATAAAAAAATTAACAATTAAATTAATAAAAAAATTATACAATTGCATTGAAGCGCTGTCCGCATTAGTTTTTGTAGCATCACTAGGCCTAAGACACAATTAAGAGGTCATTTGGCCATTTTTATTGATTAAAAATTTCAACAACAACAACAACACAAAAAAAAAAAAAAAAAAAAAAAAAAAAAAAAAAAAAAAAAAAAAAAAACATAAAAGTCACTGAAAAGCAAGTCAAACATACAAGTTATTCACATTTTCTAATACAATTACAATATTCATTCTCAAAATACACTAACTTTTTTTTTATCTCGTAACAAAGTTAAAAGCAAAAAAAAAAAACTAAAAAAAATAATGATAGAAAGAATAATGATAGAATGATTATTTTTTTGTACATAAAACTTTAAAAAATAAAATATATATTTAAAAAATTATTAACTTTTCAACTTTTTTTTAATTTTTTAGATTCTTCTAAACAGAAAATAAATAAAGAAATGACATAAATTTGAAATAAAAAAAAATACTAAAAACAAAAAGCTCATAAAAATTATTTAAAAAAAATCGAGTTGTCAAAAAAAAAAATGAAAATACTTCAGACTTAATCATTGCTGAGTCAACCAAGAGATTGACACAGAGATTAGCTTTCTCGTCTAAGTAACTTGACAGGGAGGAGGTTAATAGCGAAAAAATTGTTAGTAATTGTTAGGGAAGGAGTTGATAGTGAGGGAAATAAATAAAATTGTGTTTGTTTTTATAATAGTTGTTAGTGTAGAGATTGTTAAATTATTTTTATATAGAAGAAATATAAAATAGTAAAACAAATAAAATTATGATTTTTACTTAACAAAAACTAGAAAAACATTAAAAATTGATGTTTAAAAAAATGCCCGATGTGTAAAAAAAAATATAAATAAATAAATTAATAAATAAAAAACTAAGACAGATAACTAATTTTCTAATACCAAGTATTTGGTCTCCATCTCAATCACAACATTCAAAGCATATCTTAATCAGAAGGGCTTATGAATCATTTCTCCATCTCCCAAAACAAACATAATATTAATAAGTCTTACCTCCATCTCAATCTTATTCCTACCTTCCTCTTCCTAAACAAAGAGACCCTAAACATAAATTGAACAACAGCACAGGATGCGCCCGCCCCTCCCCCCAACTAACGTCTCGTGTGGGAGTAAATATTTTAATCAAAAAATTATTTTCTCCATCTCTCAAAACAAACACAATATTAATAAGTCTTACCTCCATCTCAATCTTATTCCTACCTTCCTCTTCCTAAACAAAGAGACCCTAAACATAAATTGAACAACAGCACAGGATGCGCCCGCCCCTCCCCCCAACTAACGTCTCGTGTGGGAGTAAATATTTTAATCAAAAAATTAAAAAATTATTAAAAGTTATCATATTACTCTTTCAATTTTTTTTATACATTTTTTTTAAAATATTAAAAAAAATTAAAATAATATGTTCCAAAACGAGACGTAGTCCCCATATAATTACAAAATTATCCCTAACGAAATACTTCATACAGGACAAGGGGAGGGTGCTGTCATTGTGCCAATCTAGTTGAAATTTGTATTCATTTTATTTTAATGATTCAAATTTTTCATATTATAGGATTTGTTAATTATATCATTCATATAAAAAATGAGATTAATTGAATATGTATAATCTCATAATCGAATCATAATTGTTTTAAACAAAATTAATAAAATTATGTGAATCGTTTATTTTTTTTAAACGTAAATTTGAGCTTGTTATAAATTATAAATGTTTAATTAATTTAATTTTTATTCATAAATAATATACTTAATAAATCTTAGTATAATATTAACGATTTGAATTATCAAAATAAATATAAAACATATCCCACAAAATCACATCACAGTAAGGTTTCGTTTGGAATATAGATTAATTTTTTAATTATTTTAGTCTTAAACTAAATAGTTAAGATAGACATTTTGATTTTTTTAACCTTTGTAAAAAAATAAAATAATTATAATTTAAATATGACATTTTATTTTATTAACTTTTAACTTATTTTATTTTTTTATAACTATTTTAATCAAAAAACAAATCTCAACCTACCCCGACTTGGATATCACAAGTAAAACCCAAGATATACTTGGGGCAAAACTGTCTTTCACACTTGCTACATCCCCTAAATTCAAAGGCATTTTTGTCGGCTGGCGGAATTTTCGGGAGTCGTAACAATTTTAAAGCCTGAATGAAGCACGAAAAACGACGTCGTCTTAAAATTTTCAACTGGACAAGTGTGACCTTGGTTCTGAACCAAATTCACTAATTGCGTCTACTTTTCTTTTATTTTATTTGGCGTTTAGTGCATGAAAACACAGAGTACTTGTACTTAGCGATTAAATAATTATAATTAGGGTTGGTGATTTGAGAGCCACGTGTGAAGAGCCATTACATGTGTGGAGACACGTGGACCATGTACTTTTCATTTCTTGGTTGCCACGTAGTGATCATTATAATCTGTATTCAGATTTGTTTTTAAAAATCAAAGTTTGATTATTAATTGCCATCTTTAATGAAATGACTCACTTTTTAAGAAGAAAAAACGTAAAACGGAGATGGTTAGAGCATCTCCAACCCACTAGGCATATAATGTCTGTTAGTTAAAATGCTTAATGTAACTTTTTTTTTTCAATTCCAATGCACTAGGCATATGATTAGGCATTTTGGCTCAGCTCACATTCGCTAGCTACATGTAGCTAGCCTTCAAGGCTAGGCAAAATGTATTTAATCATTAGGATTATTTCCCTCCATCTTTGTTATTGACGTGGCATTCTATAAAATTAATAATATTTAGATGAATAGCTAAAATAAAGAGCATGGTTGGAGTAGAAACATGAAACAGTTGACATGCAAAATAAAATGTATACTTTATAGTAATATTTAGATAGGTAAAATGCCTACTACCATTGGAGATGCTCTTACAAAAGTAATTATAATTTAACAGTTTATAATTTATAATTTAATATAAATTAATTTTTAATTTATAAATTAAATTTTTTCTCCTTCACTCAATTAATAAGTTAATTTTTAACTCACAAAAAAATATAAATTATATTATTAAATTAAATTAAATACATCAAAATAATTTAAATTAAATTAAAAATTAAAATAAGTCCTACTAAATAAGACCACTATCGTGTTTGTTTTTATCTGGAGAGAAACCGTTGAGAGGCACTGACTACGGTGTTAGTATTTACTAATTTTGAAATGAGTTTATCAATTGAAAAAATAATTTATAATTTATTTTGTATCTCTCTATCTTTTTTTTTTCTTTTTCTTTTCTTGTGATATCACATTTTTGAAAATAAAATTCAATAATGATCAATGCCATACCATTGAGCAAGGCCTAATTGAGTTTTTTTTTTTTAAATAAATTTAATTTAAAAAGAAAAAGCAGATGGGCTTGTGCTCCAAATATATATATATATATTTATTAGTGAGAAACCTGAGTAGGTCTTTTAGCCACTGTTTAGAAAGTGAGTTTGGATGGGTTTGGGTGGGTTTGTGACTAAAATAGTTACAAAAAATAAAATAAGTTTTTTAGCTTTAATAAGATAAAATATCACATCTAATTCATAATTATTATTTTCTTTCTCTCATAAAAAAGTCAAAAGTTATTTCCAAATCAAACATTTTAACTCTAGATTAAAATAACAAAAGAAGTCAGAAAGACAACCCACTTCTCAAACCAAACCTTCGTTTTCTTTTTCTAACTATTACTGTTTTTGTCCAAAAATAAATGATTTTGTTTTGTTTAATTTGTCAAGACTAAAAGAGAAAAGAGTGTACTCAATTCTATCTTTATTTCAAAATAATTTTTTTAAAGCAAATCTTTATGAATAGAGGAAAATATTTAGAAATCTTTTTAGAATTTCAGATAAGAATATTTTGGGAAGATGGTTAAAAATTATTTTTTAACTTTTTTTTAATGGGTTAAAAGTTAAGAAGTGACTTTTATAACCTACTTCCCAAAATATGCTATAATAGTGTATATTTAAGCCTTTTTTCGGGACTTAAGATTTTAGTTTAAAAATCACTATTCACTCTCTTTATTTTTCTGTATATTTTTTTTTATAAAAAGTTAAAAAATTAATTAAAATAGTCAATTTCTAAGGGTTTGTTTGGAATGTGGGTTGGCTTTTTAATTTTTTGATTTTTTGGCTTTTTGATTATTTTAGCTTAGGCTAAAAAATCTCATTTGGAATGAATTTTTTTGACTTTTATGACTTTTATGAGAGAAGATATGATGTTTTGTTTTATTTGATTAAAAAATATATTTTATTTATTTTTTATTATTTTAACTTAAAAGCCTGAGTCTTTTTTTTTTTCAAACGAGCTCAAAATGGGATCTTAATCTTTTTATTATAAGCTAACTCTAGGAATGAAACTTAGGTTAAGTTTGGCAACTCTCAAAAAAATTAAAAAGTCAAAAAGTTTATCACTATTCACAAAAAGTCAAAAATTACGACTGCACAACTCTCAATCCTAATTTTCCTCTATACACTAATTTATACAATTTTTTAATATACATTTTTTCTTAAAAAATCAAAAAATTAACCCAAATATCCATATTTTTTCAATCAACTTTTTAGTCTAAAAAGAAAAAAAATACATTTATTTAGGACATTCCAAACAACCTCTTAACATTAAATTTTATATTCTGATAAATTTTACATTAAAAAAGAAAAAGAAAATTGACTTTTTAGACTCATTAAAAAAAAAATTGATTTTCAAATTTTACAATATTTTCTAATAAATAGCTTTTCAACACCCAATGGAGCTCTTACAGCATAGAATGATCACATCAGCGGCAGCAGCAGGGCATAGGGAGGTGTCTAATCCAACCATGGCATCGAAACTCACAACTTGTAAGTATTAAAATAAATAAATGTTTTTCAACTTTAATTTATGAATTTTAATAATTTTAAGGATAATGTTTGAGAGTTCGAAAATATTTTCTAATTTTTTTAATGTCTAAAATGATGTCGTTTTGGATATTATTATTATTTTTTTTTTCTTCTTCTTCTTCGTCGAGTCTGAGCAGAGGGAGAGTGTGAGGGAGAGAAAGAGAAAGAGAAGGAGGGAGAGGAAGAGAGGAGGAGAGGATCGTCTGTTTACCACCGCCGTCGTCGATCGTCTACTCACCACCGTCGATCGTCGCAGCACCACCACCGTCACCTCCGGCCCAGCCTCCGCCTCCTCCCACTGTTATGGCCCCCTCCAGTCCACTCCTCCTTCCTCCTCCTCCTCCTCCTCCTCCTTCCCCTGCTTCTGAAAAAAAAAAAAAAAATTAGGGGGATTCGGGGGAATGCATTTTTGAGCTACGTAGCACGGTCCTGTAGCATGGTCTAAATTTTAATATGTATGTAAAATTTATCTGATATAATATTTTATTTTTATTATTATTTTTTTTTTGACTTTTCACTTTGCTAATGTTCAATTAGAACTCTAATTTCATATGAATGTATCTTTGTTGAAGTATTAATTACGACCATAGGAGGTTTTGATGGAAAAAAAATTTAATTATTAATATTTCTAATGTTTTCATCATTTTATAATAAAAAAAAATTCTACACCACACCGGCATTTAATCCTTTCTCTTTTTTATTTGAGGATTACTTTTTTATTGTAGAAAAAGGATAAGAAAATAATATTCAGGTTAATGTTTGTCTGCTGAGGAAAATGTTTAAAATCTTAAAAAAAAACAAACACTTATAATTTGATTTACAATGATGTGATATGATATATATTAATTTTTAATTTTGTATGACCTGCTTTTCTTACTATATTATTGTGGATAAATTTAAAAATTCAAATTGCAAATCTCTAACAATATTAATCTGCTAAACATAAACAAATGTATTATTCGTAGCCTGTGTTTGGCAAGTGGGTTTGCAGGCTTTTTTAGCTATTTTAGCCACAAAAAACAAAATAGGCTATTTTAGCCATAACAAACAAAACATCATATCTAACCCACAATCATTACATTCTTTTCTCACAAAAAAACTCAAAAAACCCAAAAAGTTAAAAAGCTCTTCCCAAACCAAGCTTTTAGGCCCAGGCTAAAATAGCCAAAAAAGTCAAAAAGTCAACCCACTTCCCAAACGGAGGCGTAATTATACTAGAATCTCAATATAACAAATGTATATTACAAGTCTTTCAATTTAAACAAATGTACTAATGGACAAAAACAAATGTACTATTTGTAT